GGTGCCGGCGGGCGGTGGCGCGGCGGGTGGGGGCGAGCTGCAGCACTGGCCGGCCAGTGCGGTGGACTTCCTAAGCAACTTCCAGGACAAAGAGGTGCACGGGCGGGTCCTGGACGTACTGCTCCTCCATCGCCTGGTCCTCCTGGAGGTGCCCAGTCTGTTCCAGCAAATGCAAGAGCTCGGCTTGGCCCGGCGGGTGCCTGACAGCCTCTTCCGCTCGTTGCTCAAACGCTACCTCGCAGCTGTCACCTCTGGCGTGGGTCCCGGGGCCCCCGTCCTCCCGCGAATCCTGCCCAAGCATGAGCAACCTGGCCTGGATTACTTCTACCCGCAGCTGCAGCTGGGCGTGACAGAGCCCGTAGTGGTCACCCAGGTATGCCATCCCCACCGCATTCACTGTCAGCTCCGGAGCCTCTCACAGGAGATTCACCGCCTCTCCCAGAGTATGGCCCAGGTATACTGGAGTTCCACCAGGATGGGAGACGAGAACTCTAGCAGTGTCACCTGGGGGGAGAGGGAGGAGAGCCCAGACAAGCCGGGCTCTCCGTGTGCATCTTGTGGCTTGGATGGACACTGGTATCGGGCGCTCTTGCTTGAGACCTTCCGGACACAGCGCTGTGCCCAGGTGCTTCATGTAGACTACGGAAGGAAGGAGTTAGTGAGCTGTAGCGGCCTCCGGTACTTGCTGCCGGAATATTTCCGAATGCCTGTTGTCACCTACCCTTGTGCTTTGTATGGACTCTGGGACGGTGGGAGAGGCTGGTCTCGGTCACAGGTTGGTGACCTGAAGGCACTGATACTGGGCCAAGCAGTGAATGCAAAGATTGAGTTTTATTGTTCCTTTGAGCATGTGTACTATGTCACCCTGTATGGAGAAGATGGGATTAACCTTAACCATGTTTTTGGAGTGCAGTCAGGCTGTTTGGCTGACCGATTCCTTCAGAGCCAGGGAATAGAGGAGGAAGAGGAGGAGGAAGAAGAACCAGCCATTCAGTCCCAGGCTCTTCCTGAAGAAATGGATGAAGATATTTCCCTCCCAGCCTTGCGATCTGTCAGGCTAAAGATGAATGCCTTCTATGATGCCCAGGTAGAGTTTGTAAAAAGTCCTTCTGAGTTTTGGATTAGATTGAGGAAACACAACAGCACCTTCAGCAAGCTGATGAGGAGAATGTGCAGTTTCTACTCCTCAGCCAGTAAACTGGATGGTGTAGTTTTGAAACCTGAACTTGATGACCTGTGCTGTGTTAAATGGAAAGAGAATGGCTATTATCGGGCCCTAGTCACCAGATCAGATGACAAGAGTGTGGACATCTTCCTAGTTGACCGGGGCAATTCAGAAAGCGTGGACTGGTACGATGTGAGGATGTTGCTTCCTCAGTTTAGGCAGCTACCAATATTGGCTCTGCAGTGCACCCTAGCTGATATTTGGCCTTTAGGAAAAACTTGGAGCCAGGAGGCAATCTCCTTTTTTAAAAAGACGGTACTTCACAAAGAATTAGTTATCCACATCCTTGATAAGCGGGATTATCAGTATGTTATTGAGATTCTTGATGAATCAAGAACAGGGGAAGAAAACATTAGTAAGGTAATTGCTCAAGCAGGATATGCCAAATACCAGGAATTTGAAACAAAGGAAAATATTCTAGTAAATGCCCCCTCTGCAGGGCATGTTTCAAACCATTTTCCTGCAGTGACTAAGATATCTTCTGCCCAGAAGGTAGAAGGAGAACAGAAAGCCAAGAGAGACAATAAAACCACATCTGTTTCACAAGCTGTGACCAACACAAAAGGTGTTTCAAATGTTTTAGCCGAACTCATTGCACCAGAAGAGAAAAGCACATCTGTTTATTCTTCTCTTACACAGAATTTCTTGGAAGTTAAACCAGGCTCTCTTTGTGGAGGAGAACTACCCGTTGGAAGTACAATCGAAGTCAAAGTGTCTTCTGTTGAAAACCCGGGCTATTTCTGGTGCCAATTGAGTAAGAACATACAAGAATTTAAAACACTAATGTGTAACATTCAGGACTATTGTGAAGAAACACCTGCTCCTTATCAGGGAACCACCCCTGCTTGTTTGGCAAAGCGGGCAGTAAATGGAAAGTGGTCTCGAGCTCTGATTAGTGGGGCTCAGTCTTCAGAGCATGTTAAAGTAGTATTTGTGGATTATGGAGACAAAGATACGGTATCCGTGAAGGATATCTATTCAATAAGTGAAGAGTTTCTCACGGTTAAGGCTCAAGCTTTTAAGTGCAGTCTTTATAATTTAATTCAACCAACAGGTCCTAATCCCTTTGTTTGGGATGAAAAGGCAATACAGGCTTTTAGTGAATTTGTAGATAACGCAGGCCAAGATAATCTGGATTTAAAATGTACAATATTTGCTTTGGCCTCAATACGTGATGAAGAACTATTTAACATTGTGGATTTGCTAACACCCTTTCAGAGTGTCTGCCATTTTTTGGTAGAGAAGAGACTTGCAATACCAGTAAAACTTCAAATGCCACTGGAGTCCTCTGTTCAGCTACATTCCTACTACTATTCTACACACGATATGAAAATTGGAAGTGAAGAATCAGTGTATATAACACATGTTGATGACCCTTGGACATTTTATTGTCAGTTGGCAAGAAATGCAAATATTTTGGAACAGTTGTCATGTAGTATTACACAATTAAGTAAAGTTTTGGTTAATTTAAAAACATCTCCTTTGCTCCCTGGAACCTTGTGCCTGGCCAAGTATACTGATGGAAACTGGTATAGGGGGATAGTAATAGAAAAAGAACCAAATAAAGTCTTTTTTGTTGATTTTGGCAATGTTTATATAGTAAGAAGTGATGATTTGCATCAGATTCCTTGTGATGCATATGATGTCTTACTTTTGCCCATGCAAGCTATTAAGTGTTCATTATCTGATATTCCCAATAGTATACCAGAAGAAATTACAAAGTGGTTTCAGGAGATTATTTTAGATAAGTCATTGAAAGTCTTAGTTGTAGCCAAAGATCCAGATGGAAGACTGATTGTAGAACTGTATAATGACAGTTTTCAAATTAATGCTAATATTAACGAGAAGTTAAGGCTACTTGGTTACAAAAATAGAGAAAGGAAAAATGAAAGTGAAGCACTCCTCTGTACAACTGAAACTCTCAAAGAAAAAAATGAAGATATCAAGTTGTCACCTCCAGAGTATGTAAGTCAATTGGTTGAGAACAAATTATATAACGTAGAGATTTCGAGAGAGTCACATAAACCTAAAATCAGTTCAGCCTGTACAGAGGCCAAACTTTTACAAAGCTCAACAAAGACAAACATAGTCACCCAATATTGGGAGTCTGCAGGAAATAGAAATACTCAGGCGTTTCCATTAACAGCAGAAAAAAAAGAAGACATTCTTGCTGTGTCACCTTTGAAAGCCAAAAAAGTAGAAGCTACTTTTTCAGAGAGAAAAATAGGAGATACATGTAACAAAGTGTCTCTGCCAATGAAATTTTGTGAGTTCCCACAGAAGACTATAATACCTGGCTTTAAAACAACTGTGTATGTTTCTCATATAAATGACCTTTCAGACTTTTATGTTCAGCTAAAAGAAGATGAGGCTAAAATTAACCGTCTTTCAGAAAGATTAAATGATGTTAAAGCAAAGCCTGTATATTATCAAGGCCCAATTTTGCAAAAAGGAGATGTTATATGTGCCGTTTTCTCAGAAGACAATTTATGGTATCGTGCTGTGGTCAAGGAAAAACAACCCAATGACCTTCTCTCTGTACAGTTCATAGATTACGGTAACATTTCTGTGGTTCATACGAACAAAATAGGTAGGCTTGACCTAGTTAATGCAATATTACCGGCATTGAGTATTCATTGCTCCTTAAGTGGCCTTTGGGTTCCTGACATTATAAGCTGTAAGGAAATGACACATTACTTTTCCCATAGGACTGATGAGGCTCAAATTAGATGTGAATTTGTTAAATTTCAAGACAGATGGGAAGTTATTCTTGCTGATGAACATGGGATCATAGCAGAAGATATGTTGAGCAGATACACTTTCAGTGAAAAATCTCAGATAGACCTTTCTACCCAAATAACTGAAGGTGTCTGTTTAAAGTCTGTAAACAAATCAAACATTGACACTTCAGTATTTCTTAATTGGTATAATCCAGAAAAGAAGACAATAAGAGCTTACGCTACTGTCATAGATGGGCCTGAATATTTTTGGTGTCAGTTCGCTGATACTGAGAATCTTCAATATTTAGAAGTAGAAGTACAAACCATTGGAGAACAGGTAACCGATGGGAGAAATCATATCCCATGTCCTCATGTTGGAGATCCTTGTATAGTAAAATATAGAGAAGATGGGCATTATTATAGAGCACTTATCACTAGTATTTGTGAAGATGATCTTGTATCTGTCAGACTTGTGGACTTTGGAAACATTGAAGACTGTGTGGATCCAAAAGCACTCTGGAACATTCCTTCCAAACTTCTGTTGGTTCCCATGCAAGCCTTTCCATGTTGCCTCTTGGGATTTAATATTTCAGGAGATGTATGCCCTCAAGAGGGAAACGATTATTTTTATGAAATAGTAACAGAAGATGTGTTGGAAATAACAATCATAGACGTCAAAAAGGATGTTTGTGACATCCCTCTAGCAGTTGTGGAGTTAAAAAGCAAAGGCCAAAGTATTAATGAGAAAATGAAGAAATATTCTAAAATTGGTATTATGAAGAACAGTCTGCCTCATGAGAAAAATGGCCCAGAGATAAAGGGAGCTCTTGGGTCTCCCAGTCCTGATGTTGGACTTAACAAACGAAGTAATAAAGCTACACAAGATAAAGCATTCTTTGTGGATCCACAGACAGATGAACTCTCTGAAGGATTTGAAAAAGATTTAAACATTGTTGAAACCAAACCAAATAAATTATCTGACCTCAAAACTGACAATATTTTTATAGCTTTTGAAAACTCATGCAAAGATAAAATCAGTACTGAGATACTGGAAGGTGATGCAGAATGTCATTTGGTTGACAAAACAAAGTTTGATGATAAATACCTAGTTGCTGGATTTAACACATTATTGCCACATGTTAGTGAAACAAAGGAGGTAATAGAACTAAATCCACTTGAGGTACCACTTTCTCCTGACAATGAATCAAAAGAATTCTTAGAACTGGAATCCATTGAGTTACAGCATTCTCTAGTTGGAGATGAAGAAAAAGAAGATCCATGTCTGGTACCACCTATTGGGCCACTGTGCCAGGACTGTGACACAGAAGCCACCCTCCAACCATTTATGATGCAGCTTCCCCTCAACTGTGAGGCTGAGAAACATCCAGAACTAGAACTACCCATTGTTCAGTTGTCTCTAGAGGACAAACCTAGTTCTTTGTCTTTAAAGGTTAGTGATAAAGTCCACGAATCTATGTGTGCTGAGGACTTGAGAGAGTTAAGTTGTGTGGAATCTTTTGATGACCAACACAGGACACCACTGCATGAAATGAATTGTGATCCCCAAATGCAGATGGAAATGAATATATATAAAGAAGAATGTGCAGAATATAAAAACAAGGATGCTATTTCATCACTGACACCATTGTGTTCTGAAGAACCCAGAGATGAAAGGAAACACAGTAATGGTTTACCAGACGATGCCTCAGGTATGTGAACTTTTTACTTTTTTACTTATAAGTTTAACTTAATGTCTTTCAAAGATTCTTCTTACTTTTTTTTTTTTTAGAGGTTTTTGCCATAGGGCACATGCCCTCAGAGAGAGAAAGTGAGAATTCACCCCCCAGGAGGGATGGCCATACCACAATCCCTTTTTCTCTTATTTTCCTCCTGGAATCTTGGGCACACATGTACATGCTCCTAACATGATCATCAAGCCACCAGATCCAGGACTTGAATCACTGTTGGCCATGTGAGAGTCCAACGATGTAACCATTGTGCCATCTACTGGCCCCAGGTTCTTATTTTTATCTATTTGTTTATTTATTTTTAGGAAAAACATGGTATTACTAAACCCTACTGTAAGTATACATTTACAGTGGGGATCATTTTACCAGGTTTTTTCTCAGTATAGGAATTTTCTTAGTTGTATTATGTATGAATTTTACCATTCATCTAGAAAACCTTTAAAAAATTAGATTTAGGGAACCTATATTAATTTTAAAAAGTTAACAGTCCTGAGTAAAGCTAGGAAAACAGCTAGTCTATTAACTTGTTTATGAGTTAAGAATTTAAAAGGTACCTTGAATTACTAACTTTTTATTCTCAATGACATGCTTCTTAAATGTCATTTTTATATTAATTTGAACCATTGTACAAAAAGAGAAAAAAGTAGAATAACGAGAATGAAAATCACCTCCTCTTACCACCAAGAAATGACTATTAACACCACAGAGTATTTCTTGCCATCTTTTACCTTTTTTGTGTATATCTGTCCTTAAACAGCTTAAAAAAGTTAATACAGACTGTACTATCACACAATGTTGAATGCTGCATTTTAGTCTCTTAAAAGTGATTTTAGACTGGGACCAGCAGATGGCGGAATGTTTACATCACTGTACTCCCACATGGCTGACCTTGGTTTGAGTCCTGGACCCAGCTACTTGAAACTCACACTAGGTGCATGTGCTAGCATGCCCAAATTCCGAGAGGAGAATGGGGGGAAAGGATTGCTTTGTGGCCATCCCCCTGGGAGGTGATTTCTTGCTTTCTGTCTCCCTGTCTCTCTCTGTCTCTCTGGTGAGTGCACATGCCCTACTGCAAAAATCTTTCAAAAGTTCTTTCAGACTATTTTAATTACATTATATCAATCTTAGGTGTTTAAATGCCAACCATGAACAAAGTACATGTAATAAATTGTTTCGTACTTAGTAGGTCTTCTGTGCATACTTACCAAAAAAAAAAAAAATTAAAGATTGTATCTTCAAAGATTATCGGGGTTATCTTAGAAAACACTCTATCCCAGAAGCTGAGTTACTCTAGGAATAACTAATCTGGACAAATAATTTTGCAGGATACAAAATACTTTTAAGTACATGACTTATCTTGACCTTTATATAATGATGCACTCTTCAAAATGGAGCTAAAGAAGTTAGACATTAATAAATCCATACATCTTTCTAATACTTTCACTTTACAAAACACATGTACATAATTGATTTTCTTTTCTTTTTTCTTTTATTGGAGAAGTTTTTAGCTATAGGGTGCGTGTGCTCGCCAGAAAGACAGAGAGAGACAGAGAGACAGAAAGCGAGAAATCACCCCCCAGGGGGATGGCCACACCGCAATCCCTTCTCCTCCCTTCTCCTCTCGGGATCTTGGGCACGCATGCACACGTGCCTGGCGTGAGTTTAAGCCACCGGGTCTGGGACTCAAACCACGGTCGACCACATGGGAGTTCAGTGACATAGCCATTATACTAACTGCTGGTCCCCATAATTGATTTTCATAACCACCTTTATATATTTTTTTTATAGTCTAGTGATATACCAACTATGTGGTTTGTCCTTGTTCCCTGAACTAAAACATTAAAGAAGAATAAAGAAAATGTAAGAGAAACCTCTAAGGTCGATGGAATCTCTGTTGAGTCTAGTTCATCCAGTCCTTAGACCCAGAGGTACTCACTGCAGTCGTGCATTTGGTTCAGCCTCTCTAAATCAATGGCACTGAAACCCAGACCCTGCTCAAAGATGGAGTTAAGCTCAGGGATCTTGGCCTTGATAGTAGGAATACTTGCATCCTTATTAAATGAGAAAGACACATAGTGCATCAAAGGCTCATGTTGAGGTCTGTGATGAAATCACCGTCACAAGTGTTAAAGTTGTGCTAGAAACCTACTAGGGAGAGAATCTGCAGGTTTTTCTTGGTCATATTATTTCCCCCCATTCATTCCTCTTTGACTATATACTAAGAAATCCAAAAAGGAAAACCATGTATCTTCTATTTAAATATGTATACATATTTTATAATTATTGTATCTAAAATTAATGCAGGTTGATCATCCCTAATATGAAAATATAACATTCAAAATGCTATAAAATCCAAAACTGAGTCGCCAACATGATGTCACAAGTGGAAAATTTCACAGTGGACCTCATGTGGCAGGTCACCGTCAAAACTGCAATTCAAAACTATTGTATATATTCAGGCTATGTGTATAAGGTGAATATGAAACATAAATGGATGTCCTGAACTTGAAAATCTAGAAACATAAGTGCCTTCTCAGTCCCATCCCCAGGATATCTCATTTTGTATATGAAAGTTATTCCAAAATCCGCCCAAATCTGAACCACTTCTAGTTCCAAGCTTGTCAAATAAGAGATGTCAACCTATGAATATCTTATTATTGATATTAATTCCATGATATTAAAACATACAATAATGCTTATAAAATTATTGTAATGACTGTGTTAAAATAAGTATATGTTTAAAAATATAGATATTAAAGTCAAAGGTGTGTTTATATATGTACATATATAAAGATGTAAATGCATGTATGTGTATATGTATATATGAGTGGAGTGGAATTTAGAAAGTTCATAAAAATGGAACTAACATGCAAGTTTTTTGTTGCAAAGTATTATGAAATCTATGCAGTTTTTTTTTTTTTAATATGCACTTGTCCATGAACTTTTGAAGATCTCTCATTTAAAGCTTTCAGAAACAAAGCTTAGGTGGTTATTTCAAATGGCAAGAAATGGAACTTTTTAAGTTCAGGAACATAGTCATATTGATGATGTTTAAAATATAGCTTTCTAATAGCCAACTACATCAGCCATGTGAATCTTCCCAGAGCTGTATCTGGCCAACTCTTCATGGATTAGGAAAAGGAAATCTAAGAGGTAGAGGGAAAAGTTTTTGACAAAAGAGAAACATCCTGTCAGTCAAGGCTCACACCATTCTGTTCTAGAAACAACCTCAAAGAGAAAAATAACATAAGGTAATTTATGTTTTGGTTAACATGGGGAAGGTAAATATTTTTATGAAATTAGCATGTGTGATATAAGATGTACTATAATGGAAAAAGCTAAACTAAATAACCGATCAGATGTTTTTTGACAAGGTGTCAATAAGTTATTGTTTTAGCCGCAGTCATGGAAAGGTTCATTGATTTTTAATTTTCTTCTTTCAGAGTGATAGGAAGGCAAATCAAATGAGAATGCTTCTAACTTTCAGTCATAAATTTCCATCATCATGTACTTCTCCTTCTCTAGCTGCCTCCCGATCCAGTGATTTTTTTTTTTTTTTTGGAGAGGTTTTCGCTATAGGGTGCGTGCATTCGCCAGACAGACAGAGAGAGACATAGAGACAGAAAGCGAGAAATCACCCCCCAGGGGGGATGGTCACGCCGCAATCCCTTCTCCTCCATTCTCCTCTCGGGATCTTGGGCACGCACGCACACGCGCCCGGCATGAGTTTTAAGCCACCGGGTCCGGGACGCGAACCACGGTTGACTACATGGGAGTCTAGCGACATAGCCATTATGCTAACTGCTGATTCCTCCAGTGAATTTTGACACTTAGAAAGAAGAAAACAGGCCAGCTGCATGGCCTAATGGTTGCTGAACCAGATTGCACCTGGCCAACCAAACTGTTCAAGTGTGGCTTGAGAAACACACCAGATGCATGTACATGCATGCTCGAAGTCCTCACAGGATTAAGAATGAAGGTGAGGGAATTGCAGCATGTGTTAAGACTGAGGAAGTTTGGCACAATCCAGGAATGTTTCAACTCTTGCAAATGATGAAGGAATCATCAATGCTTTTGGAAAAGCTAGTGAACTCCACTGAGCAAGAGTTCACTTTAACTATAGGACTACTGATATCTCGTTCTCCCAACTCACAGGGATTTTGTAAGGATTATTCACAAGGATCAAAGCATTAATTCTTTTTTAAAATATATATATATAATTTACATTTAATCACCGCATATCTTTACAGTATACAACATGGTTTTTCCTGCATGAATATAGTGTATATTAGTCAAGTCAGAGACATTACCATACATATTATTTCAAGAGATAACTTTTCATTTTTGTGCCTCTTCAATGTTCTGTTCATTTTTTTCCTGATTCCCTGCCTCCCACCCTCTATTACACACCCCCTATTACCTACCCTCTTCTCTTCTATCTCTAGTATCTGTAGTTGCCCCCCCCCCCATTCTTATATTTTCCAATCTTTCAGTTTCTGCTGTAGAGTGCAAACATCCGGTATATATTAAGCAGGGTCTTAAACTGCCTGTCTTTTGTAGTATGGCTTGCTTCACTTAGCATTAAACCTTCCATATTTGTCTACATTATATCAAATGTCAGGGTCTCATTGTTTTTTATGACTAAATAGTATTCCATAGAGTACCTGTGTCATATTTTTTCAATCCCACTCATCTATTCTTGGACATTTGCGTTGATTCTAAGACCTAGCAATTGTAAATAGTACTGCAATAGAACGGATATGCTGCATTAACATGGATGTGCAAGTGTTTTTCCAACCGAGGATTTTTTATCCTCTAGATAAATACCCAGGAGTGGAATCACTAGGTAGTATGGTAGTTCTATTTATAGGTTTCTGAGGAACCTCTGTAATGTTCTCCACAGTGGCTATAGTAATTTACATTCCCACAGTGTAGGAAGGTTCCCTTTTCACTGCAGCCTT